TTGGTAATATGAAACTGGGGATCTGGGACTTGAAAATTTCAAGTTTTGCAAATTTGGAGATTTGGGAATTTCGGAACTTAAGAATTTAGGGATCTTAAAATTTTGGACACTTGAGAATTTGAAAACTTGAGAATTTGGGGACTTAAGAATTTAGGGATATAGAAATTGTAAAATCTTGGAATTTGAAAATCTTGAAATTTGGAGATTTGAGAACATGGGGATTTAAGAATTTAGAGATGTCAACATTTGTGGTCTTGGGACTTGAAGATATATGAATGTGGACATCTTGGAATTTGGGTATTTGGACATCCTGGAATTTGGGCAAATTTGCTAATTTAAATAACTGGGAACCTTGAAAATAAATCTAAAAATTCATAAATTCATAGATCTAAACATTCATAAACTCATAAACTTACAAACCTGAAGACTTGAAAATTTACTACATCAAAAATAACACAAACCACCAAATTTCCGAACTTTTCCATTTCTCTAATTTAACCACCTACCACAACCCTGAAGTCTCACCACCAAAATTACCCCATAAAAACACCGAATTCCTCAAATCAATTCATCACCAAAAAAACGATAAACAGCATCCGCAAATTTTGGGTAGATATTCAAGGTCACCCTATAGAGAGTATGTAGATAGGTTGTGTACCGTTTACACGATTTGTGCACACGCTCTCGGGCAGAGCGTAGCAGAAGAGACACGCGCTTCTCTCCGCGTCTGCAGCGAGCGTATTGTTGCGTCTCGGCACAATACTTGGCACGTGCACGTGCACGAGAAATGCGCGCATTACCATAAAAATCATTTAAAAATCCACAATAGCCGGCGTTTAGCTACGATTGGTCGGCTCTTAGGGAAGGCTTGTGCCGCGATTGGTCGAATCGGTTATGGGGGGAAGTGTACGGAGGCTGTGCGTACAGGTTACGTTAGAGAGAGAAGGGAGAGAGATAGGGAGAGAAGGGAGATAGATAGAGGGAGAAGTAGAGAAGTAGAGAAGAAGAGAGAGAGAAGAAGGGAGAAATAGAGAGAGATGGAGAAAGAGAAGACAACAGAGAAGGAGAGAGATGAAGGGAGAAAAAGAGAGAGATAGAGGAAGAGAAGAAAAGAGACAGAGAGACATGGAGAGAGAGAGTGTGAGAGAGAAAGATAGGTAAAGAGGGTGAGAGGGAGAAGAAGAGTGAAAGAGAAAGATAGAGAACGTGAGTGAGAGAGAGAAGAAGATCGAAAGAGGAAGATAGAGAAAGGGAGTGAGGGAGAAGAAGAATGACAGACAGAGATAGAGAAAGAAGAGAGAGTGAGAGAGAGAGGGAGAAATGCGTGTATCACAGGAGAAAGCAGAACGAGAAGCAACACGATTGGATACCGAGGGTGAGCAACGAAGAGACCTCCATGGGGGTGAATACAAGCAGACGAGGAGGGATGAAACCGGGTGTTCAATATCGAGGTAGAAAGGGAGGACAGAGAAGCTGGTGCGTAAGAAAGAAAAGAAGAGATACACACACGAATATTGCGGAGGAGAGATGAAAGGTACAGGGTGGTGAGAAAATTTAATCGTAGATTGCGTTACGAGCGATTTATTCTAGGGGAAGTTTTCAAAATCATACTACTTAAGAAGCTTCTTGGTACGGGGAGAATTGGTAGGGTTATTTCAAATATTTTTTTGTGAACGATGATGAGATGTCTTGTTTATGCATTTATAAAGATGTTGATGTCTTGTTTTGTAGTTTGAAGGTGGGGAAATTAGAGGAAGTTTAGAGTGTGGTATTTGTTGGATATTGTGAGAAGATTTTAGTTTTTTAATTTTTGGAATTTTTTGATTTTTGAGTTGACAAATTTATAAATATTCGAATATCTAGATTTGTACATTTTTTAATTTATGAATGATTAAATTACTAAATTATTAGATTTTTCAATTTTTCGATTCCTGAATTGGCAAATTACCAACTCTCCAAATCTCCAAACCTTTAAATTTCTAAATTTTTAAATTACAAAATTACAAATTTCCAAAATTACAAAATTACAAAATTACTAAATTCCACAACTACAAAATTCCAAAACTCTAAATTCCCAAATTCACAAATTCCAAATTTTCACAATTCAAAAATTTCAAATTCCCAAATTCCAATATTCCAAAACTCTAAATTCCCAAATTCACAAATTCCAAATTTCCACAATTCCAACATTCCAAAACTCTAAATTCACAAATTCACAAATTCCAAATTTTCACAATTCAAAAATTTCAAATTCCCAAATTCCAATATTCCAAAACTCTAAATTCCCAAATTCACAAATTCCAAATTTCCACAATTCCAACATTCCAAAACTCTAAATTCACAAATTCACAAATTCCAAATTTTCACAATTCAAAAATTTCAAATTCCCAAGTTCCAAAATTTCAAAGTTCCAAAATTCCAAAATTCCAAAATCCCAAACTCCAATATTCCAAAATTTCCAAAATTTCAAAGTTCCAAAATTCCAAAATTCCAAAATCCCAAACTCCAATATTCTCGAAAGCAAATCAATGATCTCTAAATTGAATAAATTCAATTTATTCATCCAGTTGCGTAAACTCCCATGTTTTATCAACTCTAACCCACCTAGCATTTCACTCACAATTTACTATATAATAATAACAATAACAACACATCCATATTATATATTATAACATAATTCAAACACAACATAAAGAAACAAGTTTCCTACAAAACAGCTACGATAAAAAGGATCTATACTCCTTCAGAGCAATACGATCGTGACTTCGGGGCTACCCGTTCTCGTAATACGAGCATAGTTATGGTACACCCACGCTCCGGTATGTTTGTGTTGCAAGAAGCAAGTTTCGAATGTATGTGTACATATTGTGCGACGACGAACACAACTCTGCGACCACAAGTCCACACACGGTCGTGGGCATAATGGAGCATTGTTAATATGTTAATGTTGAAACGTTCCTAAAGGTTCCGACGGTTTACGTTTCTCGTTCCAACGAAGAATCGTTACACGCTCCATTAGACGACGAACCTTGAATTCTACTCGCAACAAATATCTCTGCGGAATTCTTCTTCTATTGACTCCATTTTTATTGATCTTCTATTGTCGCAAATGATGATTTAAAAATTAGAATGTAAACATATTTTTAGATTAAGACTGTTTAATTTTGAGGAGATTGTTCCAGTATTTGTGAATTGGATTACATGTTTGGAGAACACTGAGTAACAGTTGAAATATAAGAAAAATCATATTGGAACTATAATTAATTCTTGAATTATAATTAAGTCTTGAATTTAATACCAGTTGCAGTTTGCACAAAGATCGCTAAATTCAAAATATTTCTAACATTTCAAGTTTTTTTTATTTATTTTAATAATGCAACTGCCTCTGAGTAACGCAACTATCAGAAACATCATAGGTTAAGGAAACATTGATGGGGTATATCAGAAACATCATACATTAAGGGGTCGATTCTATTATCAAATTGTTGATATTGAATAAAAACTTATATTGAATTAAATATATATTATATACATATTGAATAAAAATATATCTGTAATGGTTTAAAAAAATGGATGTACCATTTAGTTTGAAGCTACTGAACTGCCATATACAATAGCTTGCTCAAATCTATTTTGGAATAAATATGCGATACTTTACAATATACATTTTGCTCAAATCTGTCCATAACACAAAGATCTTAGACCATAGCTCAAAGTGTTTCCATAATTTAGTCGAACCGCAGTAAACGAATGTTTTGGTCAGACCTCTCGACGGTTCTGTATAAAAATAACGACCTTGACAGTCGTGAATGGAAAAAAGCGGAAGTCAATGGCTTCTTAATGCCCTACCGACGCGCTAAAGCAATTAACCGCGGAACGTGCGGGAGTAATTAAAATATTTGAGACTCCTGCACGCGGTTGCGTTACTGTAATCATCACGGTGTAATGAAACAGGGTCCCGTGCAATTCGTGCCACGTACACCGTGATATTCATGACCGTTCGACGGTGTGAGCGTGCGTACAGCTTGATTAACGCGAACGTTAATGAGCACACCGTTCCAGCACCGACGGTATCGATTCGAGTGCTGGGAAAATAAAAGTGTCACGAGCGAAGAAAAGTGATCGAAAATTTCTGTGGCACCGTGGAAACGGTGCAGACGTTCGTCGCCGACGATATATCGATCGGGGTATTAATAAAATCGAGAGGAAATTAAGAGGACGTGATTCGTGTCGTGTTCGACCACCTTCGAGATAAATGTTTTACGTCTTTTGCGAGGATTTATAATTGACCTTGAGAGGCTTTTAAGGAAAGTGACTTTCTTCGTTTTCTTTGGTGGAGTCATTAGCATTTGCCATGGTAGGTTTTGTTTCTTGTTTTTGGCGAGGAATGTTGAGATTATTTAAATAATCAAATTTCTTATTTGAGATGTACTAATATTTGAGTGATTAGGATTAGAGTATATTCGAGTAAAAATTCATTTGTCATTTTGTTAGAATTTGATTAAAATTTGAGTTAATCAAATTTAATTAGAATTTAATAAGAGGTGTGTATAATCGAATTTTATTACAATTTGCATATAATATTTTATATTCAAGTATTCGAACTGCAGAATTCCAGACAATAATCATATTCAAATGATTCGTACATTCAAGTAAATAAATTGTTGAATTTTAAATAAAAATTCTACTTGTGCTAGTCGTCAAATAATTTCAAGTTCTATGAGTATTCAAATATTCGAAAACGAAGAATTATCTCTTTCTATAAAACACTTTGACTAGTAATTAAAAAATGTCAAGTGTATGAAAATCAACAATTACAATATTAATTGAAAACTGCAGATAAAGTAGAAAACTATTAACATCTTTATCGCAGTCGATAAAATAGCTAGCTACATTTCAACCATATCAACAGTCGACAAAGAAAAAATTTACTTAACCCACTGACCGTATCATTCTTGTTATCGTGTGTCGATAAAAAAGAAAACTACAGTTTTACTTACCTAGGCATGTCTTGAAGCTGTTTGGCTCTCTGCTTGTATCGTGAGAGGGCAAAAAGGAGGGCAAGGACTGGCCACAGGGTTGATCCTGCAGCCAATTCCCCAGGATTCACGGAACCCACGTCTGCCCCGAGAGCTCGGAGCGCCCCTACGCAAAGGCTCACGTTCTCGACCTGCGCAACATAAACGTAAAAGTTCATCATCGATTATAGTAGATATGTATATCGTCATATTAGGTCATTAAGCAAGTGAGCTGACAAACATGTTTCATCTTTTGATCATCAAAATTCCTAATTTCAGACACTTTCATATTTCAAAATTCCACATTACTCAGATTTTCAAATTTTCAATTTTAGAAACTTCCAAATTTTGTAATTTTATGTGCTTCAAATTCTTAAATTTTGCAAATTGATAATTTCATGAATTCCTAAATTCTTATGCAAGTTGGTACATTGTTAGTTTCTCAAATTACCGGTTACCAATTTTTCAATTACCAGATTTGCAAATTTCTAAATTTCCCAATTTTAAATTTTTCAATTACCAGATTTCCAAATTTCTAAATTTCCAAATATCCTAATTTCTAAATTTCCAAATATCCTAATTTCTAAATTTCCAAATATCCTAATTTCTAAATTTCCCAAATTCTTAATTTTTTTGAATGTCCCAAATTTCCCAATTTCCCACATTACAAGTTTTCAAGTTTCCCAAATATTCAAATTTTCAATTTCCTAAATTTTACAATTTTCTTAAATCTTCCCAATTTCCCAATTTTCCAAATTTGCCAAATTACCCAATTTTTAAAAATTTTTCAAGTTTTCCAAATATCTCAAATTCCCCAATTTTACACATTCCTAATTTCCCCAATACACAAATTTCCAATTGCTCCAAATCCCCAAATAAATTTCCAAACGTAAGTTCTCAAATTATCCAAATTTCCCAACATTCCCACGGCAAAGCAGAAATCCAAGCGCGTGACCGCAAACCTCCTCGAGCCAGTTATGACAAATGATATGTAACGAGACTTAGTATGACGCGAGGAGCCTATGGGGGTCAAAGGGGTTAACGAACAGTCCAGGATCCACGACCCGGTGGTATCGAGGTGACTGGTACATATGGGTGTACATAGATAGTCGCGGAGGATAGAGGAAGAGGAGGAAGGCACGGTGAAGAGGGAAATGCAGGGTGTAGGTGTACATAAAGGACGCGGCAGACCGGTGTACATATACGACACGACATTCTGCGAAACGTGACCGCCGTGACCATGGCTACCTTGTGCTAGCACGCGTGCCGGCGTGCCTCTTTTGTTTCCCATTGTTCCTAAGAGCCACGCCGGCTCCGGCTTTTACCCAGAAAACAAACCGTGCTCTACGTACTACTCTCTGCGCACGCTGCACACAGGGTGGTGAGAGGTGCACGAGCAACGGGAGAAAGAGATGACTCACCCGACAATACACCCAACGCGGGTGCCCACGCGTTCCTAACAACTAGAATCGCCTGGTCGTTCGATGGAAACGGCGACACGGGGAAAACCCTAGAAATAAGACCTTTTCACCTTCTTCTGATCTCGATGGGGTTGCACTCTAATCATTTGGATGTCTGAATGTTTGACCTGGATCCTTTGGATATTTCACAAATATACTGCTTCGTGGATTCTTCGTTAAATCTGTTCGAGTAATTAACGAGTAAATAACTCATTTAAGTTCTTAGACGAACATCAAAGAATCCAAGGAAAATCTGGGAAAATCTTTTCGAGGGGTGAACATGAAGATCAAGGAGACCGTTTGGTCTAGAGATCTTTAAGAACTTGAAGATTTGGATGGGTTGAGAATTTGGAGGGAAAGAAATTTTTGGGGAGGTTTCTTTAGGGGTGTAGAAGTATGTCTTGGAATTTGGTCTAGGAGTATGTTACTTTAGAGAGTAGAAGATGTAGAGAAGGTTGATATACTCTTCCCTTCATCGCTATGATTGTTAATATTATTACTATAGACTTCAGAATGTAAAACGAACATTTTCATCCTAGTCCATCACCTATATTATGAAGAATTTATTCACTAACCTAACTAGAAATATTCATGTATGCCTTATTAACACTTGTCTACCACAGGGCACATATGAATGGCAGTGAAATTTTCATCCTAATCCAGTATTTCTAACTGTAAATACTTGCATCAACCTGAAACCGTCTGACCTAATTGCAGATATCATATCAACCATCTGAAGCTATGACCTAACTGCAGATGTTCATATCAACCACCTGAAACTACATCTGACATCACTGCAAATATTCGTATGAACCATCTCAAACTATGTCTGACCTAACTGCAAATATTCGTATGAACCACCTCTAATAAATCTAAGAACACTGTAAATCCGACAAAATATCAAAACCATCCAAATTTGATAAAGATACTAATTCCTTAAGAAATACTTAACCTTCTGCTCCAGTATACCCTCGTTAAAAAACAATCTTTCTCACGCTCGCCATTTATTTCTATTCATTAACCGTTGACACAGTTCGTAACCCAAGAACAGATCGTCTGAAAGGAACCTTTATCGAGGTCCATTAACGGCTCGCCTTTGAAACGAAATCTTGCCGGGGAAATAAGACGAGGAGTGATAAAGGGTTACAAGCTTTTGTGTAAGCTTGCAAGGGTTACAAGCGTTTGTGGATCCCTGTGAAGGCATCGGTGTTCAGTTGGCGTCGATGCAACGCCACTCGAGCGACTCTGTTCGAGCACTCGCGGGTTATCCGCACGAGATGACAGCCGTAAATGGCGATGTCGCTTTTTAATGCATTCCTCTGTCTACCCCGTCTACGTTCCCTCCTCTCCTGCACTTAGGTGTATCCGACAGCGGCGAAAAAAGTGGATCTTGGACTTAAGGGAGACATTGTGCTTTCCTAATAAAGGGTCGAAGGTACATCCAACAGGTTGTTCTATTCTCGACACTGGTCGCCATGCTTTTTCGCTTGGATACTCTCGATTACAAGGACCTTTTATTGGCTGTGTGTATTGTCGATATGTATTAGGATTTTAAGATCTCGATAGCAAGATTTTATTATACGAGTTTGTATTATTCAAGTTTGATGAGATTTTTTTCAGATATGAAGAGTACTTTGAGGGTGTTCAAGTAGTTGATGACATTAGGACATATGCTGGAACATATGAGTTGAGGTTAAATTCGGGTGCTTTAGGACAAATGTGACTTAGATACAGGTTTTTGGTTCTGATTATATCTAATGTTATTGATCTGGAAGTTTGAGAATATGGATAATTTGGGAAGTTTGTAAAATTCGAAAAACTTGCACATATGAAAGCTTACAAATTTGAGAATCTGAGATCAAAAATTAAGGATCTGGGAAATTTTAAGAATTCAAGAAATTTGTGAATTGATGAGCTACATCTGTACATACAAGGAATCGGAAATTTTAAGAATTCAGTAGATACATTTGCAAATTTATAAACTTCAGAACATGAAGAAAATGAAAATTGCATTAAAGCAACTTATAAGGTCAAAAATTATGAAACTTGAGAATCTAAACCTAACAATCCTGTCTCTAATCTTCAACATCCAAATTAGATAATAAATGATTTCTCTAAAATGAACCCAGTACATAAAATTGACTTAACTATACCTTTCCAGAATGAATTAATTGATTTAAGCGAACTTAATTTGCAAAGATAAGATTCGCAAATATCTGATAAGAGTATGAGAAAGGAGGAAAAGTTGAAATTCCCATCAAATCACGCGGATCCAATTAACGCGGTCCATTTGTAGATCTGATCAAGTCCGAAGATACCTGTCGTTCGTATTCGTCGGTTCGGGTTTGTAATTCAGAAACTGTGGTCGTGGTAGGAGAACGACGGAAAGCCAAACATGGCAAGAGATGTCCTCTTATGGTAACGTCCTCGCTTCTCCGGCTCTAGAGCGTGGAAATGAAAAAGAAGAAGCGTACGAAGCGCCTCTGAACCTCCTATTTGTCTCTTTCCAACATTCCACTTCGATGTACACGTATATTATTTATAATTAAATTTCTCGTTTGTACGAAAGAGTTTGTACGTTTGCTATACACTTTATTACTTTTATGTCATTAGACCTTGTAGGTTTATATTGCAGGATGTATATTATAGTTTTTGAAATTTGTTATTTGGTATGCAAGATTATTTACAAAATTTAACTTTAGCATGTTAAGAGTATTTTAATGTTTTCATGTTATTTTATAATATTTTTATTGTAGTGTAAATTTGGACTTTCTTGTATTTTTATGATATTAACAAATTTAATTTTCTTAATTTTTAAAATGTTATAAAATTTAAGTTTCTTATTTTAACTTTATTTAACTTTCTTATTTTATGTTTGAAGTATTATAAAATTTGACTTTCTCATTTTTTAAAATTATTCTAAAATGTAACTTTATTATATTTTAAAAATGTTATACAATTTATTTTTTTCATATTTTAACAATATTATAAAATGTAACTTTATTATATTTTAAAAATACTATAAAATTTATCTTCCTCATATTTTAAAAATATTATACAATTGAATTTCATTGTATTTTAAAAATATTATGAAATTTGTCTTTCTCATATTTTAAAAATATTATAAAATGTGCCTTCATTATAATTTTAAAAATACCATAAAATTTATCTTCCTCATATTTGAAAAATATTATAAAATTGAACTTTATTATATTTCTCATATTACATCAAATTTTTATTACAGTACTTTATTATATTTATTACAATACATTGTACTACATCTACAAACACTGCAACTAATGTGTACACTTCCCATTTATTATTAGACAGTAGCTACTTATATTTCACTATTAATGATTGATGTTGACAGCAGTATGACACAACAAAAACTAAAAAAACAGAAGTGTTACCAAGGTATAATATCCATATATTATCCAACAAGTATAATAATACCCACGATATTAATATTATTTCTTACTGAGATAGTCTGAAAGGGTTATGTAATCAGTTTACGAGTATCTTACAATGGACACCGTAACGAAAGGGTTAAACGCCCGAAGCGAACGTGTCGAGAAACGCAGACACATGTTCAACTGTTGAACAACGAATTTTTCGCACGACCTCTCCACGATTTTAACGCTTTCGATCAGTAATAGGATTTTAGCAATGACCAACAAGCTGATATTGTACAC